TTTTTTCTACATTTAGGACAGGGTCTACAGGGTTTCACTACACAGCTCAGACTCCTAGTGATCCTCCTGTTTTCAACTTCCCAAGTGCTGGGATAACAGGCGCGCGCCACCATGCCCAGTTTCATTTGCCATCTCAGTGTGCCCTGGGTGCGGGGCTGGCACAGCACGCTGGGGATCAAACCTCAGCCTCTGGGCTCTGCCTAGGCAGGCGCCTTAGTCGGCTGAGCTATCAAGCCGGCCCAATAAATCTTTTTTAAGTAAAAAAGATTTTATTTTTGAATAAATCTTTTTACCTTTTTAAATATCTATTTTTAAATAAATGTTTCCTTTATCTTTGATATTGTGCTTCTATGTGGTAGGGTCACTAAGCTGTTTAAAATTATGAAACTTCCTTGCTACTTAGAAAAGACTCCAGCCACTTTTAAGAGTGTTAAAGAATAGTATAACAATTATGCTTCCTTTTTATGTATTTAGCACAGGGTCTCACTATGCAGATTGGGCTCATAGTGATCCTCCTGTTTTTCAGCCTCCCAAATGCTGGGATTACAGGCATGTACCACCACAGCCAGTCTCAATGACCATCTCAGCATGCCTGGGGGTGGGGCTGGTACTGCACACTGGGGATTGAACCCCAGTCCCTGCATCTACCTAAAGTGGTATTTTAATCTGCTGAGTTATCTGGTCAGCTCTACCCTTCCCTTTATAGCAAATATATTCCAGAATTTTCACACTAGTGAGAGTAAAATAGAAATATCTCTAAAAATATTTTTAGTCAATAAGAGAACTTATTCTACTATGTAGGAACTGTTAAAAAAAAAAAAGTCTTATACAATTTAAAGAAAAGGTGGGAACTGTTATGTTAAGACAGTTTTTTTTTTTTTTTTTTTTTTTGGCTAAAATGAAGCCTGAAATGCTATAATATTTTGTAATGTGTTACAAGTAATTTAGTTCTGGGACTTGAAAAAAAATATAGGAGCAGTCTGATAGGTAATTTGCAATAAATTTCTTCAGGTTGTTAAAAAATTGTAAAATTTTCTGGGAGAGTTTTATTAATGAGTTACATCTTTACCTAACTATTTAGGGTTCATCTGAGGTGTAGTGCCACTGTGACGCTAGTTTGAAGAAACTGAAAGGAGTGGCCGCTGGAGAAAGTGGAGGTGGGGGGAGAGAAGGTAGGAGGAGGGAGGGAGAATGAGAGAGACAGAGAACATTAAGGGAGAATGAAATGTGGACGTGTAAGTTGTAGAAGACTAATAGAAAAAAGTCAGGACTCCTTAGAACAAAAACTGGTACTGGCTTTGCAAGAAGCAGACCCAAAACCAAACCAAATAAAACAAATAACTAACTTCTAGTTATGTTGGTAGGAAGAAGCACATGAAGGAAATAAAAAAATAAACACAGAAACACGTAAATGGAGACTATGAAAGCAGGGAAGTTGCAAGAGAATAAATGGGAACCAAATCATAGAGACCATCTTAGAAGGAGAAATTCTCAATAATATTTGTCTGATTGTTTACTTTCTGACACTCCTCTTTATGGAGAACTTGCCAATTCTGTTAGACTGGCCAAGAGGGAAGCAATTGAAAAAATGATGAAGTTGGCGAATATAAATAGGATTATTGCAAGGGCCACCTGCCCCAAGCCAAACACATTATTTTATGCAAAAGTATAGAATAGAAAGACTGAAATTAATTTTTGTGGTCTATTAATGTTTTTGAAGCTGTTAATAAATGTTATGTAATATCTTCAGGGCAACAGTTAAAGTAAAGGTTTCACTTCATGCTTTATTATTACCTTTGTTCTGCACATAAATATCAGAAAATACAATATTATTTTTGAAGGTAATTTTTTACTTTGAGAAAGAATATCTGTCCTGGGAGTTCTCTAATAAACAGCTATTGAGTGACAGAAACTGAATTGTGATGATCTGGCTATGTTTCAGCATAACTGTGGGAGAAAAATTAATCTTTGATTTTAAGAAGAAATGAATGCTGTGCAAAAAATATTTACACAACTAAGATTGTATCTGAGAAAATGAAATAACATAGGATGAGGTGAGACTTTATAGGAGAGACTTACCATTCAAATACATTAAAAGTAATTTGGCCAGGGACTGGCCAAATAGCTCAGGGGATTAAAATGCCTGCAAGCAGGCACAGGGGCCAGAGGTTCAATCCCTGGGCCTGCCATGCTGCCCCCTGCCCCTGGGCGCGCTGAGATGGCCATTGAGACTGGGCATGGTGGGCGTGCCTGTTATTCCAGCTTTGCGGATGCTGTAAACAGGCGGATCACTATGAGTCGGATCTAGTAATGACACCCTGAACACCCTGTAGACCCTTCCCTGAAATGCAAAAATAAATAAATAAAATAATCTCTGTACATCTTAATACTGAATAGTTATACAGTATAAATACAATTTTCTTCACAATTCATGTTTGCATTGCCTTTAGTACTTTATGGGCTTTTATATAGGAGAGGCTTTTGGCTTCAGTTGTCAAATACATGCTTGAAACTTAAAATGAGCTAATCATTTTCCTTGTATAGTCTTGTGTCCATCCTATTGGTGAGAAGCTGTTTAGTACTGACTTCTTACAGTCAGGTGGAGACTTCATAACAATCCAATGTTCCCGAACTTCTTACTCATGTTCAAGATAACCTCGAATTCCTCTTCTCTTTCTTTTCTGAATCTATGTCATGCAAAAATAATTGCTGTATAGGATTGTAAAATAGATATATAACCCATCAGTACCTTTAAGTATTAATTTTGCCTTTGGGTCACACCAAATAAGGAGAGAAGCCGTGGTCATGATACTCTAAAGTATTTAGAACTATTTTCCTGACTGTTCTTTTCATTGTTGGTCAGTATTGATGAATTGTAAAATGAAAAGTCCACAGTAGGGCCCCTTTATGTAATTGTTGTGAGTGATATTGTTGAAGCTGCCGCGTTATGCTGATTATACTGATATTCTTTCGAGTGACATATGGAAAAAATGTCACTGAAAATAAGATGGCTTCTGTCACTGATATTGTGAATGTTACATGTATTGTGTTTTAATTTTTTTTTTTGTGTGTGTGTGTGTGTGACTGGCTGGTCTTGAACTCAGTATATAGCTGAGGCTGACCTCTGAATCACAGCAGTCCTCCTGCCTCAGCTTCCCAAGTGTTGGGATTATAGGCATGTGCCACCATACCTGGCTACTTTATGTTTTAGCCTGCTAATATTAAATACCACAGTGTGACTGTCTTAACCGACAGAAATTCACTTTTCACAGTTCTTAAGGCTGGAAGTTTTATAACAAGCTACCAACAGAGCTGGTTTACATTGAGGCCTCTGTGACTTGAAAATGTCCACCTTCTCCCTATGGCTTTGCATGACTTTTTCTCTGGTGTCACTTCTTTTTCTTATTAAGACATCAATCCTCTTAGGTTAGGGCCCCAGACTTACAATGTCATATAACACTTATTACGTTGTTAAATGCCTTTTACACAAACATAGTCACATTGACTGGTCAGGACGTTAAAATATGAATTTGAAGGGAGAGCAGTTCCATCTATGTGATTGCGATAGCCAAGAAGTTTTGAGCCAGTTTGATGCAATTGTCTCAGATAATATATGGTACTTATTTTTCTACCAGTGTTTCCATCTTAATGATTTTTTGCAAGCTAGCAAATCTATTCAATATAAAAGATAACAAATAAGTTAAGTTCTCATGTGTAATAAATTTTGTGAGGGTATTTGTTCAGTGAAATTACTAGTAGCAATTATACTCCTCAGTTCCAAAGCTGCCGGACGATCTTCAGCAATTGTACTCCACTGAGCACACTAATGCATTTATATGAATGTTTTCATTTATAAGATACATAATGATGGACAGGTGTTTTTCTCTTTTTGATTATATAACAATATCATAGAAATAAGATTTTATAGGTGACAATTTTTTTAAATGTCAACTCTTGTCATTGTAGAAAACCTTAATGAAACATGAGAAACAAAAAATCAAACGGGAATCAAAGCCAGAAAAGAGGTATGCTTTTGTGTAATACCAGAAAGTGTAAGTTAATACATTTGTTTTTGATATTGTTGAAGAAATTACTGACTTTAAAATCTGTCTTTAAAGAAGTAGAGTTAATGAAAGCTTAAGTTTTTGTTTTTATCTTTTCAATATTGATTGAAGGAAGTCATTGGGCTTGCTCTGGAACCACATTTACTAAAATATGAAATGTTGCCATTTAGTTTGTCTAAGGCAAAATGTATATCGGTTTTTCTTGGTGCAGGGATCAAATATTCAATGCCACAAGTTAAGAAGGAAAGTTTCATTTTTGCTCACAGTTTGTAGGGTTTTCAGTCCACAGTTGTCTCACTCCAAGGTAGGGCAGCATGGCAGAGGGACATCACAGAGAATAAACAGTCCATGGCAAGCAGGCAAGAGACAGAGCAGCTAGCAGGAGCCTCCCTTCCTTTCCAAGTCACTCCATCCAGGCTACTAGACCGATGATAGTACCATCTGAACCCAAGATAGGGCTTCCCATTATTTGCACCCAGAACTATGCTAAACCAGCTAGTAGACAAGTCCAGTTATTACACCTAGATAATCCATCTTCACCCAACCCAGATCCAGCCACCTTTGAAAAGCCTGACTTGTAAGTATCTGAGGCTTTGGGGGACATTTCGATACTAATCATAACAAGAAGACATTGGTATTCAGGTCTATGCAATGTAAAAATAACTGAATATATTTCAGTTTATGTCTATAAGAAGCGATTTGCTGTAATTCATCATGATAAAACACATTTTTCAATGATTGTATTTAAGTTATTTATATTTTTGTACTTTACTTTATATAGCAAATTTGTTGATAGATTTGTGAAAAACTACTGATTTTTGTGAAGTAGATAGAAGGTAAGATTAAAAAGAAAGGATCGGGGGAAGTTAACATAGTTCCTAAAAAGGCGGACTTTGCATTTGTGTTTTCTTATTGACTAGGAATACATTCAACTATTAATTATAAATTTGAAAACATGAAATAGATACTTGATGGCACTAGAGAGTTTAGGTCCATGAAAGAAAAGAAATTACAATGTGTGACATCCTAATTTTTCTAGCTTTTACCAAGTTTAGGCATGATATAAAGCTAGATCTTACGCAGAGTATTTTAGTATTGCTGGTGTGAGGAGTAAAAGTATAGTTTGTGGCTGCCAGGATGATTGAAGACTCATTAGGGAGGGCTGGTGAGATGGCTCAGTGGTCTAAAGCACCTACTTAGAACAAGCTTAGCAAAGCACAGGGACCGCGGTTCAATCCCCCAGCACCACATGCCAGCCAGCCCCGCCCCCTGGTGGGCTGAGCTGGCCACACACACACACACACACACACACACACACACACAAATAAAATTTAAAAACAAACAAAAAAAAACTCATTAGGGAATCCCACAAGGGAGAAAACTCAAGGGAGAAGAGACCTGAGTTGGTGTACAAACTTTAACAATAAATCCTTGGCTGGCTCTTAACTGTGCATGTGTAAAAGAGACTGTATGAAGTCCAGTCTAAAGCAACAATTTGCATGGTATACAATTGGTTCAACTGGTCACATCAAAAGAAAAAGATGTTTTGAACATTAGAAGTAGTGATCAGGGGCATGAATGCAGCTTTTCCAAATATTGGAGAACTTAACACATTAATCATGTCAAGAGGGGCCGGGGAGATAGCTCAGTAGAATAAAGACTTGTCTGGCAAGCGCAACGACCTGAGTTCAATCCTTGTACAAAAAAAAAAAAAAAAAAAACAAGACTCCGCAGTACAGAAATAGAAGTTATCAAATAAAGTCAAATGAAAATTCTCAATGTAAGAGATTTGAACAAACCATTCATTAATGTGATCAACTTCACATTTGTAGGGCACTGTGTACAGCAACTATAGACTATACATTCTTTTCAAGGACACATTAATATGCCAAATAAAAATAAGAATAGTAAACAGTAGAATATAAAATAAAGAAGCAGTAAGACAACTAATAAAGTAAAACATTAGACTTTGAAATAATTAGTAGCTTGTAAGTTCCTAGCATGATTGTCAGGGATAAATACGAGTTACCAATATCAAGAATGATAGTGGAGGGCATCATTCGATATCTTGTACTTTGAGAGGAAAATAATATAATACGTGAACAACATCATACCCATTACATTCAACTAAATGGAAACAATCAATTTTTTGAAAGAAGAAAAATGATAAAAGTGACTCAAGAAGAAATAGAAAACTAAAATAACACACATCTTATAAGAGTTGAACTAGATTTAGTTTAAAAACAAAAAAATTAACTCTCATTTGAATATTATTTCTGAAGTATTTTATGATGTTAGAAGCAGCTGATCCCTTGCATGTATTTTTCCTGAAAATATTCCTTAGCTGGTTAGTTTTCTTTGGAAGTCTTTTTCTCTTATAAGAGCTATTCAATTAAAATTAGTCTTATCAATGGTAAGTATACAGTCCCAAAGATAAGTATTTATTGTAACTTCCAAGAAACAGTGGCTAAGGTGAATTTTGCATATTTTCCTCAATGCTCTACATCTGTTTCAAGCATAAAGAGCTGTGACAAAATTTTGTCTCACTAATTTTTGCAAAGATATACATATTTCAGAGGATGATGAATGTACAAAAATTTAGAGTTAATTGATTTTATCCTTTTATGTTCTGATGGAGAAATTTGAGGTTCAAAAGGATTGGTGGATTTCTTCACAGTGACAAAGTGAAGGAAACTTTGTCTGTGACTAGAGAGCAACTCTGTCCTCACAGAGTAGTGAGAAGCTTAGTCATATTGCTTTAAAGGAGGTAGATGGAAACTTAACAAATTAATAAACCTACGAGATACTATCATGACGTAAAGCAGTGTTAATAGAGTAAAATCGTGTGGAAAGAGAGACAAAGTGAAACAGAAGATAAAAATAAAGCAGTGAACAAAATAGAAACATAAACATGGGCATAAGCATATGCATACAAACTCACTTTGCTGAAAGTATTTAAATGAATAAATATTAAGGTTCTCTTCTTTATTTGAAATCCTGTGTTGTTTCTATCATTTCTACCATGAAAATTCCATAAAACTTTAAAATCACACATTGGTACCCTTGTCAGGCTTAGGCTGGTTGATTTTTCTTGTTAGAGAATGTCTCACTTACTTTTCTCTCATTGCTGGGACAAATACCCAACAGTCAAAATGAAGGAAGATCAGGCTGGAGCAGCTCTTGGCAGAGAACAACCTTTCATGGAGGTGGCAAAGGGCAAGAGAAAAGGGAGGAGGAACAGCAGCTCAAACAGCTGGCTTCTCTTCCCTGGTACACTGAAATGCAAATTACCTGCCCCAGGGCAGGTGCAGCATCCACACCCACAATAATCAATCACAAACTCCAGGAGCCATCCCATGGCTGCATGACGCTTTGGGGAGACAACTATACACAATACACAAACCATATCAGAGAAGAATTTCTCATGTAGTTTCAACTAGAGGTTTTCTGACAGCCTGCATGAGACAGAGTACGTTACAGCCTGCCATCCGTCACCTGTCAACTTCAATAAAATGCTGGCCTTTTCAGAAGTAATTTTGTATTTCCAAGGTAAAAGTATGTGTCATTCATATATCACCATTGCTGGACCTCCATAAATACCAGAGTCTGCTTCTCGACAACTTTTATTTTATTGAAAAAGAGATGATGGAATAAATTTATAATTACCCCATTCCTTGGTGGGACTTTCAAGGTTTGGCAAATAGCACCAGTGTAGGCAACCATTTAGTAATTTTTTATTTAATTTTAAAGAAACTAAAACTTTAAAAAAATTAATAATGATACAGATTTCAAAACCAGATGAGAGGAAATCGACATTGGTTGTTACTGTGCATATTGTTATCTTCAAAGTAGTGTTCAGATTACCGCATAAAGACAGGCAAAATTGATCAAAATTAAGCATTAGCTGCTCCTTTCAATAAATCAATAGACATTAGTAGTATATATATTAGCTATATATATTTATCTATGTATATTATATATTATAATGTTTTCCCTTCCTTCTTTGCTCCTTTCCCTCATCTCAGTTATTCTTTCCTTTTCAGCTGTTTCTTATCCTTTCATAATATCTTTACCTTTCAGATTGTATTTACACTTTCAATTTTTTACACTAGCAAGATATTATGATGCTTACACATGTGAATATGATTTATTTCACTTATGAGTATGGTCTCTAGTTGCATCCATCTACTTCTGAAAGCCTCAAGTTTATCTTTCTTTATAGCTGAGTAATACTGGACTGTATAAAAATTCCACATCAGTTTTTATTCGTTTCTCAGTTGATGGGCAATTGGGTTGTTTCCAAAATTTAGCTATGGCACATTGTGCTGCTATAAGCACAGACCCACAGATATCGCTGTGGTATGATGTTTTCACTTCTTATGATGATGTTTTCAATTTCCAGAAGTGAAATATCTGGGTCAGATAGGACCTCAAATCCTAGGTTTTTGAGGACTCTCCACACTGATTTCCATAGTGGTTGTACCAATCTATGTTCCCACCAACAGTGGAGAAGAGCTCCTTTTCCTCACCACCCTACTAGTATTTGTTATTGGTTGACTTCTTGATGAACTGTCTGAGGGACAGTCAGCTAAATTCTTTCCCAATTCATGTTTTTTTTTTCTATTCTGTGGGTGATTTCTTTTGATGTGCAGAAAATTTTCAAAAAGATGAGATCCCAATTGTTGATTCCTTGATGTATTTCCCATGCAGTTTGGTTTTTGTCCATGGACTCTCTACCTACTCCTATGTCTTCAAGATTTCTACCTACTTTCTCTTCCAATAAACTTAGTGCTTTTGGCTTAATATTTAGGTCTTTGATCTATTTTATTTTAGTTTAGTACATAGTGATAGATATGGGTCTAGCTTTAGTCTTTGACATGTGGAGAGTTAGTTTGCCAGCATCATTTGCTAGGAGACTATCTTTCTTTCAGTAAACATATTTGGCCCCTTTGTTGAACTTA